TAGGGTGCAGGGTTTGGGGGTTTAGGGGGTTTATTCCAAATTAGAGTCTTCTTGGAGGTCCTTTTAAAAAGCGTGCCGTACTATTTCGGTGACCTATGAAAGGGACCCTGATTTAAAGAACTACCCATTTGGGCGTTTTAGGAACAGCGACTTAGGCGTGTAGGGTGTTGGTTTGGGGGCTGGTTTGGGATTGAGGTTGAGGGTTAGAGTCTAGCTCAAGGTGGCAGAAAGGTTCGGGTGTGGAAGCTCTGAGCCAACTACAGTCTCTTCAAAAAAAAAAAAAAACAACACTCAAGGCGAGCCCAGGCAACCCCCTGCCCTGCCCCTGTTGAGCCCAAATAGCTGAAAATCCGATCCGAAACTCCAACGCCCAAAACCTTAAGTCCCAAACCCTCAACCCTTACTACAACCCACACCAACTCCAGCTCCCAAACCTCTAATTAACCATGAACCCGACACCCTGAACTGTGAAAAAGAAACCCCTAAACTCTAAACTCTAGACCCTAAACACTACTCCGCAAACTCTAAGCCCTAAATCTTGAACCCGAAACTCTAAACCCTGAATCCCAAACCGAAGCTCTAAACCCTAAACCCTAAACCCGAAACTCTAAAACCGAAGCTCTAAACCCTAAATCCTAAACCCGAAACTTTACACCCCGCACCAGGGGGCATTACTGGGCTCCGCAACTTTTTCGGACCAGGAGCCTTCTAAACCTTTCGTCTCTATTGTAGTACCTTTTGTGGGCTACCGGTTTAGGGATTAGGGTCATATAGGGGCCTTAATAATTGGAATGTTTTGGGGCCCATTCTACTACAATTATCATAAGGAACCCCCCTAGACAGTATTGGCAATGATTTAGACCCCCAACACTACGTCTTAGGGTGAGGACCCAGACGCCTATACCCAAGATCAACCCTAAACCCTACCTTAAGAACCCAAAACCCACTTTTTTGTAGGTTCTTATTATTAACTCTAATATGGGATTTATAGGGACCCTACAAAAAAGTAGGTTTTGGGTTCTTAAGGTAGGCCCTAAACCCTGAGGACCCAGAAGCCTCAAGCCATAACTTGTCAACTCCAAACCCGAAAACCCTGAAGCTCTAAACCCTAAAGACCTAAACCCCGAACCCCAAAGCTCTAAACCCCAAACCCTAAGGCTCTAAACCCCCAAGCCCTAAACCCTAAAGGCCTAAACCCAAAGCCCTGGACACTAAACCCTCAAGCCCTAAGACCTAAAGCCTCAAACCCGAAATACAACCGATAGCACGGCTCTTTTGGGGCTTCGGGTTTAGGGGTTTAGTGGTTTTGTGCGTTATGTAGAGTTTAGGGGTTTAGTGATTTCAGGGTTTAGGGTTTAGGTTTAGGGGTTTAGTGGTTCTAGGGTTCAGGTTTAAGGTTTTAGGATGTTTTGGGGATTACTACTATCAACTGCAACGACAAACAAGCGGTGTTGCGTGCCTCCTTCCACACGAAGACCGGATCTTCACTGTCATGTTCCTCGAAATCAACTTTGAAAGGTCTGGGGCTTCGGGAAACTCGACGCCAGAAGACTCTGGACGTAGACCTAAAATACTAGGATCCAGATGTGCAGCTTAAAGTTCAAGTGTCTGGCCGCCGGCCGGTTTGGATTAGGACTGACTTTGGGGTTAAGGTCTTCTTCTTCGGCATGTCGCTCACGATTCAGGCCACTCTCGTATAGAACCCGTATAGAACCAGCATACTATTCCTAACGCGAAAGGTTACAGAAATCCTATTCTAGTAGATACCCATGAATATGAAGTTTTGGGCATGCGGTCCGTCAGCTTCTTCGCATAGTGCACGAGCACCTTCTTCATCTTTCCTCGACGGACGGTGCCCCTGAGATAGCCTCGCGGCTGCAGGGCAAACGAGTGCTAGGGTTTCAGGGCCGCTTACCCAAAGGGTTTAGGGTTTAGGGTTTAGGGTTTAGGGTTTAGGGTTTAGGGTTTAGTAGGGATTCTATAATAGGAATTGTTATTATGATTTGGGGAAGTATCCCCCATAACAGTACCTAGGACCCTTTGGGTTAGTGTTCAGGTCTTATCATTGCTTCTGTAAGCCCGACCCTTAACCCCTTAACCCTACATCCGGCTTAAAAAGGCGGGTGCTCCCAAAAGTACAGCACCAGAATCTGGTTTGGGGTTCAGGGATTACCAGAAGATGGTAACCTTGCAATTGTCTACTCCGAGCTTGGAATGATGGGGTGCCCCTCCACCCCCACTCTTTGGCTTAAGTTCTGGTTCATCCTGACGCGTTTGTCGACCTAAGCCTGATACAAAGAGAAAACAATCACCGCAAACCCTGTAAACCCAAACCCTGTAACCCAACCCCATGAACCCTAAACCCCAAACCCTATAAACCCTAACCCTAAACCCCAAACCCCAAAACCTCATTAACCAAAACTAACCCTAAACCCCAAAACCCAATTAACCAAAACTAACCCTAAACCCCAAA